CTACTCTAGCTCCCATTTTCCATGTTTCTGTAAATTAGCTGCCTGCTTTAGAACAGTCGCGGTACATCTAATGGAACCAAACCCTTCATCGGCTACACAAACCCATTTGTGAGGGCTGACGTTGTGGTGCGGTTGTGTAAAGCAGGGAAGGGTGGAGGGGTTGGGGGGAGGGGGGGTGTTGTTCCAGTCGCGATGCAGATGACACAGAGTTGGCCAGGAGGGTGAGCTGGGCTGGGGGGAGGAAGGAGGCAGAGGTTGTGTGAATTGGACAGGCCGAGTGAGTGGGCAGATGCACAGCAGACACAGTATAACGTGGATAAATGTGAGATTTTGGAGCAGAAGCAGGAAGGCAGATTATCATTTGAACAGCTGCACATTGAGAGAGGGGAATGTTCCTGGCATTCCAGTCGCTGAAAGTGAGCGTGCAGCTCCAGCAGGACTGAGGAGTACAGGAACGAGGATGTTTTGCTGCCACTATACAAGGCATTGACAAGCTGGCACCTGGAGTATTGTGTGCAGGTGTGATGTCCTTACCTGAGGAAGGGTGTTCTTGCTATAGTGCAGCAAATATTGGTCAAACTGATTTCCGTGAATATAGGAGGGACGGTTAGTAAGTTTGCAGGTGACACTAAAATTTGGAGGTGTAGAGGACAGCGAAGGAGGTTACCTCAGAGCACAACAGCACCTCGATCAGATGGGCCGAGGAGTGGCCAAACGGAGTTTAATTCAGATGAATGTGAGGTGCTGCGTTTTTGGAAAGGCAAACCAGGGCAGGACTTATACACTTAATGGGAAGGTCCTGGGGAGTGTTGCTGAACAAAGAAACCTTGGGGTGCAGGTTTGTAGTTCCTTGAAAGTGGAGTCACAGGTAGACAGGGCGGTGAGGAAGGTGTTTGGTACGCTTAGAGATAACACAGTATGGAGCTGGAGGAACACAGCAGGCCAGGCAGCATCAGAGGAGCAGGAAAGCTGACGTTCTGGGATCGGGACCCTTCTTCAGAAAAAAATAGTTTGGTACGCTTGCCTTTATTGGTCAGTGCGTTGAGTACAGGAGTTGGGAGGGTCATGTTGCGGCTGTACAGGACATTGGTTAGGGCCACTTTTGGAATACTGTGTTCAATTCTGGTCTCCCTGCTGTAGGAAGGATGTTGTGAAACTTGAAAGGGCTCAGAAAAGATTTGCAAGGACATTGCCAGGAGCTACAGGGAGAGGCTGAATAGGCTGGGGGCTATTTTTCCTGGAGCGTTGGAGGCTGAGGGGTGACCTTATGGAGGTTTATAAAATCATGAGGGGCATGGATAGGGTGAATAGACAAGGTCTTTTCCCCCAGGGTGGGGGGGAGTCCAAAACTAGAGGGGCACAGGTTTAAGGTGAGAGGGGAAAGATTTAACAGGGACCTGAGGGGCAACTTTTTCACACAGAGGCTGGTGTGTGTATGGACTGAGCTGCCAGAGGAAATGGGTGGAGGCTGGTACAATTACAACATTTAAAAGGTAGCTGGATGGGCACATGCATAGGAAGGGCTTGGGGGAATATGGGCCAAATGCTGGCAAACGGGACCAGGTTTGGAATATCTGGTCGGCACGGACGAGTTGGACCGAACTGGGGATCATAGTTTAAGTACACGAACAAGAAATGTTGGGAGGGAAATGGGCCAAGCGCAGGCAGGTGGGACTAGTTTAGTTTGGGATTAGGGTCCGCACGGACTGGTTGGACCGAAGGGCCTGTGTCTGTGCTGGATGAGGAGAAATTTCTTCACCCAGGGAGCGGCGAGCCTGTGGGAATTCTCCGTCACAGGAGGTGGTTGAGGCCAAAAAGCGTTGTCTGCTTTCAAGCACCCGGAGGATATAATTCCTGTGGCTAAAAGGGAGACGGGTTTTGAGGTACTGAGCTTGGTGAGGGGCCATGATTGTATTGAACGTTGCAACAGACCTGAGGGGCTGAATGGCCTATTCCTATCTTCTATGTTTCTGTGATTTCCAGAGTTGAACAGCTAGGTTCTGTGATGTTAGGCCCAATCATTTCTGTTCAGACCAGTATTGTCCCCAGGGGTGTGGAAGAGTGGCAGGGCACCAATCTCCTGTCTTTGCCTCCATATCCCTGCACACAGCTTCTACCTAATTAACCATCAAGTGTGTCTCCTGAATTCCCCAATTGCAAACCTGCCTCCACCACATTTCGAGGCAGTGCATTGCAGACCCTGGCTGTGTGGCCAAACTTCACCTTTACCCCCTCGCTGCCCTGCGCACGTTGTTCTAAATCTCTGCACCCCCACTCACCCTTGTTCCTGTGTTCTTTTTACGAGTGGGAACTACTTCTCCCCATGCCCAGACCTCTGGCGATACTGAAAAGCCAACTGGGTAGGAGGTGGAGGGTAGAGAGGAAGGCTTAGCTGGAGAGTGAGGGAGAGCGCAGTGGGGAAGGGGGTGGTGTAGTGGGGTGGGGAGCGGGGAGAGAGCTGAGGAGAGAGACACAGAGAGAGAGAGAGAGAAAAACCAGAAGCTAGACGGACAGAGTGAGACAGAGAGACGTGCACATAAACAGGGTGAGGCCCATACACCAGTGACTGAGAAACATTAACCAGTGGGAGAAGGAATGGACTGAGACACACAGAGATGACACCCCCACCCCCTTCCCACCCACCACAACCATCAAAAGGCAACTCATTTGATCTCTGGGATCGACGAGACAATTAAAGGGCAGTAGAAAAAGGGTTTGGGAGTGAAACAGTTTGCAGTCAGTAGGAATTAACATCTGGGTCAGCTGGAGATGAAGCGCAGCCCCCGAGGGGAAAGGCTCACCCAACTCAAACAGCAGTGGATCCTGTGTGCAGTTCTCCCCTCAAGGGAGACAACTGCCTTGGCAATCTCTTTCTGTTTTTGGCTGTCTTCCATGCTGAACTTTTCTGGTGTTTTTCCACTTTCTTTCTCTGCCCTTTCCTCTGTCTATCAGCCAATTGAGTCTCCTGTTCCTGAATATCTCCATACCCTTTAGCCCTAGGTGCTGTATCCCAACCCCCTGTTGACACGGTGGCTCAGTGGTTAGCGCTGCTAACCTCACAGCGCCAGGGTCCACGGTTCGATCCCACCCTCGGGCGACTGTCTGCGAGGAGTTTGCACATTCTACGCCCCCGTGTCTGCGTGGGTTTCCTCCGGGGGCTCCGGTTTCCTCCCACAGTCCAAAGATGTGTAGGTTAGGGCGGGTTGGCCGTGGGAAATGCAGGGTTACAGGGATGGGTCTGGTTGGGATACACACTTCAGAGGGGCGATGTGGACTCGATGGGCCGAGTGGGCTTGCTTCCACATGATAGGGATTCCAGGGCTTTGTCCTGGACTGTTTCCTGTGGTAGAGGATTCCACAGGCTCACCACGCTCTGGGCAATCTCCTCATTTCACCTAAATTGCCTACCTGGTATCCTTAAGCTTGTTTTCCCATCTCTCTCTCACTGTGGCTGCCTCTACCCATTGCTAACAGTCTGTACCTCGCTGCCTCTCCCCCTTCTGCCTGTCGTGCTTCCCTCTGGACAGCGATTTTCCAGGAGGGAGATTGTGGGAAAACAAACAAGGGAGGGTTGGCTAACAGTAGGGGGGGTTGGCCGGCAGAGAGCCAGCTCAGATGTCTCCTTCAGTGTCACTACACTACATGTCCCTCTCCTCACCAGCAGCAGTTGAAGGCCATTCTGCCCGTCGAGCCTGCCCCCGGCCATTCGATACTATCCTGGTTGATCTCATCTCAGTCTCACCTCCACTTCCCTGCCCGCTCTCCGTAACCCTTCAACCCATTGCTAATTTTAAAAGAAACCTATCTCCTTAAATTTACTCCCTGTCCCGGCCGTGCTCTGGGGGTGGGGGGAGTGAGTTTCACAGATTCACTACCCTTTAGAGGGTGGTAATTTCTCCCCACCTCTGCCCTCTCCCTTACGCTCAAGCCACGACCTCTCGTTCCAGATATTCCCCCCAACATCAGGAAGCAAGCTCCCCACGTCCGCTTTGTCTATCTCCTTCCAGCACCTTCCCCAACCTCAATTAGATCGACCACCACCCCCCTTAAATTCAGAGAGAAATCGGCCTCTCTTGGAGATGAACACCCTTCGTCTCCAAGTCGACGTGATCCCAGCCAGGGGAAGCTGGGATGAGAGTTGTGAAAGGTGCTGTATAGCCCCACACAGAGCAGAGAGCTTCTGGTTCCCAGAGAGAGAAGGTGTGCAGAAAGGGGAGCTGATGGTCTCCTAACATCATCACGAGACTGTTTATCCAGAGACCTGGTAACGTTCTGGGGACCCGGGTTCAAATCGTGCCACGGGTGGAATTTGAAGTCGATCAATATCTGGAAATAATGATGAACGTACATTGATTGTCGGGGAAAATCCCCATCCCATTCACTAATGCCCTTTAGGGAAGGGAACTCTGCCATCCTTACCCGGTCTGGGCCTACACGTGACTCCAGACCCCACACAGCGACGCGGTCGACTCTTAGATGCCCCTGTGAGTGATCAACGATGGGGGCAAGGAACGGCAGCCTGGCCAGCGCATCGGAGGCCAGCCACTCGGCCCGTCGTGTTTGCTACTGACTATCTGAAACAGCTGTCCCCGCGTTTCCCACAGCCAATCCACCCTTAACTCTCAGAGCTTTGGACTGTGGGAGGAAAACAGCACGCAGACGGGGTGGGGGAGAGAACATGCAGACTCCCACGCAGGCAGTCGCCCGAGGTTGGAATCGAACCCAGTGGTGCTAACGCGCTGAGCCCCAAGGAGTAAGGGAGAGGTGGCTTAGGGAAGGCGTTTCCAGAGCTGAGGGCCCTGGCAGTGGTATGGCGGGGGCTGGGGGAGGAGGGGGGGCAGCACGGGAGGGTCGAGGAGCTGGAGGGAGGGCAGAGGAGGGGTATGCCAGGCGAGGAAGGGTCTGGGTCAGACATTCTGACCGATGTTCTCTCTCTCTGTTTTGACTTTGCAGGAATAAAGCTCCGCTGGCCGAGGCTCTTCCCCTCCCCAACCTTGGGCATGGCAGCTGAACGCAGGTACAGCACCCCCTGTTCGTATGAGCAGAGGGTGGGCCAGCCTGAACCGGCTGAGGGCAAGGAAGCGGCCTGGCCCAGGCCCAGGCCCAGGGCCAGGGCCTTCGGCAGTCCTGAGGTGGTCTACGACCGTATCCGGGACCGGGAGCGAGCGCTAGGTGCTGGCCACCCTTGGATGTCAACGACGATGGAGGGGGAGGAGGAGGAGGGTGGAGCCGGCGAGGAGGAGGATGATGATGAGGAGGGACCTGAGGGTTACCACTGCCAGATCTGCGGCTATCACACCGAACAGCTGCAGCCCTTCAACATCCACCTTCACTCCGCCCACCCGGCCGTGGTGCTGCAGGAACTCTATGGGTTGCTGGACCTGACGGGAGGCCCCGTCCCTGGCCTGGGCCCTTTCGGAGGCCCCGTCCCCGGCCTGGGCCCTTTCGGAGGCACTGTCCCCAACCAGGGCCTGCCTGGAGGCTCAATACCGAGTCAGGGCCCGATACAAAGCCACGGCCCGCCTGGAGGCTCCATTTCCGGCCACGGCCCGCCTGGAGGCTCCATTTCCAGCTACGGCCCACCTGGAGGCTCCATTTC